TTCCAACCTCAACAAATCTGTGGTTCTGTGATTATATGACTTTATGATTCTGTGATCAGGCCAAACATTAATTCCATGCTTTAGCTAATTACAACAGGATCACACAGCACTAGTTTGTCCTTTGAATGAAAAACGTCCCTTTCCTGACAAAGGGGATTTAACTGCACAGTGCCTTGTCCTGAGCTGACAATTCCAGCCCACACTCTGAGCTTGGCACAGGGTGCCCTCACAAATTCCTGCAGGAATCTGTGAATGGCTGTTCTTTCAATACATTCAAAGAGATTTTCTTGCTTTGCATCCATTTAATGATCCCATCCATGGCTGGAACACACAGGCTCTTGTGCTGGGATGGAATCCAGCAAGTGCAACCAGCCACTGATGGAGCTTTTTCTTACAAAGTACGAATCCTTGGAGGAGGTAAACAATCCATTTGAGCACTGCCAACCCTGCAGCCTCGTGACTTTGTGTTGTCATGGCTGGCTTTGGGCAGAGAAAGAGCTGGGACCCCAAAGTGGCAAATTTAGGGCATTTACATCAGTTTTCTTTATGGCTCTTTCTTGTTTTCTGGTCAGTGTTCTGCTAAATATATTAGTTGCTCAAATAGTATCCAAAAAGCAAATGTATAGCCTGCTCTAAGTGGTAATAGTAATAATAATAATAACAATAATAGTAATGCTACTACTACTACTAATAATAGTAACAACAAAAAGAAGATTAGAAAAAGAAAAAAATGAAGGAGGAGAGGAAGAAAAGAAGTAGGAGAAGGAGGAAGAGGAGGAGCAGGAGAAGGAGGAGGAAAAAAAGGAAGAGGAGAAGACAAAGAAGAAGATGAAGAAGAAAAAGAACAAAGAAGAAGACAAAGAAGAGGTGTCATTATAAACCTTTGTGCTGAAAAACCTGCTCCTGAAAACCCTGCTCAAACCTGCTGAGGGAGAGAGAAGAGCTGGCTCTTTTCCTCCTCTCCTCGGACACTCCTGTTGCCCTCCACACGCTGTCCAGGCACTGGGGTTCTGGGATTTATCCCCCTTGTAACACTGGGTGGTCTCTCATGGCACTGCTCATTCCCTGCCCCACGGCTGGGATGGATGTGGGATTCAGGGATGCACCTGCAACACTCTGGGTGCCTCCAGAGCCTGATTTTTAGGTGACAAGTGTGTGGGACCCTGGGAAGAACCTGAGGGCATCTCAGCCCGAGTGTCCCGACCCCTCCGGGGAGGCTTGGCCGGCTTTTCCCAGGACACAGGAACTCCTGTGCCTCTCCTGGGAGAGGAGCAGGGAAACGCCCGGCGCTGCCCTGCGAGGGCTTGGAAAGATCCCTTCGAGCTACTCCTTAAATCGCTCCCCGTTCTGTCCCTGTCCTCGAAAGAAAGAGGATCTGTGCTTCGGGAAACTGAGCTCCAGCCTCTCTTCACCTCCTCGTGACTCCAGTTTAAACTGGGGAAGGGTTGTTGATGTAAATCTTCTCCCGGTGGTGAATCAGACCCTCAGAGGGAAACATTTCATTGGAGCCTTTTGGACGGAGCTGCTGCGACCCCACAAAGCACGTGCCTGGGCTGGGCCTGCCGGGGGTAATTAACGGATGATTGTGAGTAATTAATGAACGTTCTGTGTGTTGTCACAGTAGCAGGATGTTTATTGCATTTCAGCGTGAGGATGTCTGGAAAAGCAGGAAAACGATGGCTCAGCACAGCCACCCTCAGCAAGCTCCAAGGGATGGGGCTGGGAGAGACAAGACACACCCGCCTTCCCTTCCTCATTTCCCTCCTGTCCTGCCTTTTTTTTCCTTGTTTACTCTTCATTGTGAACAATTATTTGCACTTTCAAACTCATGTCCTTCTTTCATGACCTTTTTCCTTCTCCTTTTTCTGGTGCCTTGGTGGTGCTAACAAGGGGATTTCCTTCACTGGCATTTTCGTCTCTGCCCAAACCGACCCTTTAATTCACTTTCTCAGCGTCTCCCATGAAATGCTGGTTTCTGTGGTCGGGTTTTGGTCAGTTTTACACCCGTCCTTTGCAGCCCAAAGATGAAGGTTTGTTCCCATGAGCTCTGTGCCTATGTTTGCCTGGGGATATGGATTTTCCAGAATTGTTTGGTGGCGTGGGAATGGCAGAGGGCTGTGGTTGGATGCCTGAGGGTGAAATGGCAGCATCAGGAGGCTCCCAGTCCAGCATATTTATACCCAGGAGTGGGAGCTGAGCACTTCAAAAGCACCTGGAGCAGCATTTTGAGCTTGTGTTGACTCAAGTACTTACATTTGTAGAGCTTATCGTTTCTGCTGGGTGCCCTGGGCAGACACAGAAAGGGGCACCCCAGGCACACCAGAGCTGCTTTGGGGTTGGCACAGGGAGAGGAGGGTGATGCTGAGATGTGGACTGGGGCTCGATGAGCCTTTGGAATAAGAGGAATAACCTTAAAACAAATATCTGATATCCCCTCTTTCCAAAGGGCTTGTCTGGGTACAAACAGAGGTGACTTTGGATGTCTCCAGCCTGGGAGAACTGTCAGGGGTGGGGCCTGAGTGTCTGCAAGGGGGTATGTGGGGGCTTCCTTGCCTGGAACTCTCCTGGAGGCCTGGAATTCCCCATCACCCAGGTTTTGCAGGTTCTCCAGGACTACTGGACTGCCCTGCAGAGGTGACTTGGGTGCCATCCTCTCATCCACTGCTGGCTCTCCAGGGTTTAGTGAACTTCTGTGGGCACCTGAGATGCTTCAGGAGCACTTTGCTACCAAAATACCTGAGAAGCTTTCATTCTTTTTGTTTGAAAAAAAAAAAAAAAAAAGAATGCCAATGTGCTGCTGCAGGTTTGGGCTGGTTTTTATCTTTATCTTATTTTCACTTCTTTTTTTTTTTTCTTTTCCTAAGCAGCTCTGCCAGCGTCTCAGGGCAGATCCTGACGTGCCAACTGCGAGGGCAGCACGTGACATTTTCCCTCCCTGAACTCCCTGGCGGTGTGTGGAGCTGCCCACAGTGTTTCCTGCGGGCAGAGGATGGGGTGACATCAGGGTGGCAGTGCCCTGCCTGCCCTCAGGGTCAGCAAAGGGCAATGGGAGTGGCACAGGCAGCTCTTTCCTCACCGGTGTTCAGTGCTTGGGTCCCTGCGTGGCATCAGCCAGGAAACTGGTGGCAGTGCCAGCCCATGTGCCTGAGTTGGGGCACAGCCTGCTGCCAGAGGGCAGGGTTAGATGGGATATTGGGAAGAAATTCCTGGCTGGGAGGGTGGGGAGGCCCTGGCACAGGTTGCCCAGAGAAGCTGTGGCTGCCCCTGGATCCCTGGAAGTGTCCAAGGCCAGCTTGGACGGGGCTTGGAGCAACCTGGGCTAGTGGAAGGTGTCCCTGGATGGGCTTTAAGATCCTTACTCAGCCCAATTCTATTATTCCATGATGATCTAGTAGGTATATACAATACTCCTAATATATAATATGTGCAGAATACGACGTGTATATATATCTAATATAATATATGACGTGAATATATATATAAATATATATATTTATGAAGTGACACCATACATATCTGCACCCATCCTGAGGGAGGGGTGTGTGTAAGTGCCATGTACATACAAGCCCGTGTATCCCTGTAGTATCTCCGGAGCACCTGAGCGCACCAGTGCACCCAGTACCCCCCCAAAAACGGGTTCGGGGGGGCCGGGAAGGCGCTCCGGGGGCGTGTCCGGGGCGTGTCCTCTGCGCTCCCGCCCCTCCTCCCGAGGAGGCGGCGCTTCCCAGGCGGTCCCGCGGCGGGATTAGCGGCGGGATCAGCACCGCGATGTCCGAGCGCGGGCAGGAGCCCGACAGGTGAGCGGGGCTGGGGGGCCCTGGGGACCCGGCTGACCCTCCGCCCGGCGTCACCCGGCCCCGCGCATCCTCCCGCGGCCCTCCCCGCCATCTCCGGGACCCTCCGCCATCTCCCGGCCACTCCAACCGCTCTTGTCCCCCCTACATCCTCCCGATGCCCCCCTGCATCCTCTCCGTGCCCTCCTGCGCCCTCCCGGTGCCCCCCTGCACCCCCTGCCCTTCTCGATGTCCTCCCAGCCCTTCCCGATGCGCCCCTGCACCCCCAGCCCTCCCGATGTCCTCCCCGCCCCTCCCCGTGCCCCCAACATCCCTCCCATCCCCCAGCATCCTCGCAGCCCCGTTCCCATCCCCCAAACCACCTGCATCCCTCCGCATCCTTCTGTTTCCTCCCTCCCAAGCCCCGCCCTCCTCCCCCCTCCCCATCACCGCGCGTCCCCCCCATCCCGCGCCGAGCACGGGAGGTCCTTCCCCTCCCAAAAACCTACATCCACGGGCGGGTTTGGTGCCCGGCCGTGCACCTGCAGCGGGGAGGGGGGTGGTCCCCGCCTTTCCGCGTCGCCGCGGGCCGCGCTCCGCATCCTCTTCCTCGGGCAGACAAAAGCGCCGAGCGAGCCAGCGGCGCTGCCGCCCCGCCCCGAGCCCCCGCCGCCCCCCCGGCAGCCTCTGCCCCGGCCCCGCTCCGCCCCGAGCCCCTCCTGACCCCGGGGTCCCTCTGCCCCCCGAGCCCCGCCCGACCCCGGGGTCCCTCTGCCCCACCCCGAGCCCTGGAGTTGGGCAGAAAGGGCCGGGGGCTTGTGCCGGTGGGACTCACGTGCGGCAGAGCCAGGCGGCCCCGAAAGGGCCGGGAAGGAGCCGGGAGCAGGGATGAAGCTGGAGAAGATGAGCCCCCCGGGGTCCCGCTCCCGTTAGTGCCGTAACCCGAGGCAGCTGCGCCGCGAGCAACGATCGTGTTTATCTTCGTGTTTATCTCCTCACGCTCCAGCGGGCGTTGGGAACCCCCTCTCCCACCGGGATCCTCCGGCAGGGAAGGGCAGGGGCGGCAGCGTGTTTTTCTCTGCCGCAGTTAATATTAACATATTAACAGTTATTGCCGTGGACAGTTATTGCCTGGACAACGTGCGTTTGGTTTGCTTGGTTGTGGGTTTTTTTTTTCCCCCTTTCTCTCTTGTTTTCTCCCTGCCCTCCGGAGCGCGTTTTGCAGCTCGGGAGGCGGGAAATGCAGCTGCGAGGGGTTAGAAGCCAAACGTGATTTAAGCAAACCTAATTTAGCAAGCCAGCACTTGGTGGAAGGGTTGAAGGGTTGCACAAACAGCTCTTGGCTCGTGTGCCGTGCCTGGGGAATATCCAGGCCTCGTCCAAATATTACTGATATGTATAATTTTATTTTTTTTTTTTAAGATACAGTTTGGAAGCACAAACACTGTTGTGTAATTTCCTGCAGGGGGGGGAAAAACCCTTTCCCAGTTCTTCCTGCCCTTGACCCACCAACTTCCAGCTCCAGCATGGAGCACCCCCTCTGCTGTGCTGCACCCGGGACCTCCCAGCTTGCATCTCTTCCCTTATTTCCTCAGCAATCCAATCATTAGGGGTTGATTTTCCTGCCTCTATAATTACCACCTATTCATTTGTTTCTCAGTTTTGTGTTTGAGTGCCCCAGCGTGGCAGCAGCCAGGACTCTGATCCCTGGGGTGGTGCCCACTCGTTCCATGTGCACCCTGGGAGCTGGGACCTGGAGCAGGCAGGTGGTGGATGCAGTGACAGCCTGGGAGGGCCAAAATCAGCCTCCTGGGATGGCCAAAATCAGCCTCCTGGGCTGAGCTGCCAAACAGGAACTCCCATGTCTTGGCTTCACCATCACCAGCATCCCTTGGCATCACCAGGGTGGCACCGTGGCACGCCCAAAAGCAAAGGGATAGTTGCTTTTTCCCTGCCTGCACGTGTAGGGCTGCTGTTCCACCTTCCCACTGGAATATTGCTGGTGCCTCCAAAGTGCAGGAGGGCTGGATGTCACCTGCTGTTTTATGGTGTCTGCACCCAGGGCCGTTCCCTCCCTCAGCACAGCTTTGGTGGAGCTGCATGACGGATGTTGTGGAGCTCCAGGGAAAGGTTTCCAAACCGGATCTTTGTCCATAAATGATAAACTCAGCAGATTTTCCCTTGTTAAGGGTGGGTGGAGGCTGAAGGTTGGTCTGAATTTGCCCCAGGCCACAAGTGGGGCTGTTGGATCCTCTGCCACATCCCAGCCACCGTGTTTATCTGAGCTTTGTGCCTCGCTGGGGATTGGTTGGATCGCTGCCAAATCCAAAGGGCGCCTGGCACGGAGGGCTGGGCTTTGGAAAAAGGGGCCGGTGGGAATCACACACAGCAGAGCCAGGCGGCCTCGAAATGGCCAGGACAGAGCCAGGGCGGGGGAGGATGTTGGAGAAAATGAATATTTAATCACCAGCCCCCCGTCCTAAGTTACCTCCCAGCCTGCAATTCCCTGGCCAGAGCCTGGGAGCGATGCCAGGGGGCGGGAGGTGGGTGAATGCCGCTCCTGTGGAAGCGTGGGAAAGGATTGGCAGCTCTACTCATGTGTGTCTCCTTTTGTCTTCCAGCAGAGCCGAGGCCCTCTCTTCAGATGAAAAAGGTACAGGAATTTTCCTTTGGAATGGAAAGGGCAATTTTATAACCACCGGCTTTAAAAACCTCCCTGTAAAACCTTAGTTTGTGGATCAGTTTTGATTGTTCATTCTGATTTTTAAAATCCTTTGCTATTTATTCCCTTTCTCCGAGCTGCTGAGTACAAAATTGCCAAGAGAAGGGGTTAAATCTTTTTCAGACTTGTATTCCCTGACTGCTTTTCCCTTGCAGAGGTGACATCCAGTGGCACAGAGGGAGAGGGCTCCACCGAGGAGCACCTGGCAGGTGAGCACACGTGGGGCTCAGGGCTGTCCTCACCCTTGGGGTGGTGTGGCCGGCCCTGCATCCCAAATTTCCCCACAAAGCACATCCCAAAACATGTCTCTTACTTTCCAATGCTGGTTTCTCTTCAACTTGCATTTGTAAGAATAATTTATTAAAGCCACATTCGGTGCATCCGCACGAGTCACGTCCCCGGTGGGACACACAGCTCCCACCAAGGCTTCTCCCACCTATGTATGTGCTGTGGAAAACCCTAATTTAACTGGGATGTGCCATGGGTGAAGCTCCAAAACAATCCCAGGTTGTATAAAGCATTAACATTGAATATGCTGAACACCACAGGTACCCTTTAGAAGGGCCTGGGTGACCCCGAAGTTTTCCACGCTGCTGGGGTTTGATGCTCTGGTGCTCTTCTCTGCCTCAGTATTTTTTCTGCTCTGTTATATTATGTAACCTGCTGACTCACCTGATGTATCCAAACCTCTGGATGTATCCTTGGATTCATTCCACCCGTGCCTAATGGGGTGTTAATTTGTTAAGGAGAGGCCAGTTCGGAAAGCAGCTCCAGCAGCAGCTCAGAGGAGGAGTCAGGTGAGCATAACATTGTGATTTACCTGTTATCTCCCTCTGGAAACTGATGTTCAGTTTAAACCAGCTGCTTTTCCTGGGAATAGTCTCCTAGTTAGTGTAGAATGTTAACCCAGTGATGGCTTTTCCAGTGATATTTTTGGGAGCCAGTGGTTTCCAATCAATGATCAAAGAGCAGCAGCTCGTGTTTCCCACACCTTGCAGACACAACCCCACGGTTGTTTTTGCAGCACAACAGTTGTCCAAACACCACGAGGCCATAAATTGCCTTAAAACTTGGCAGCAAAGCTGGCAAAACAGGATGGACAGGAAAAGAATTAAAGGAAGCTGTTGATGAAAATTTGGTGAGGTTTGCACTTCCACAGGTTGTGCCTCCGGCAGTTTATTCTGGTTTTGTGCAAGACTATCAGCCTTGAGTTAAATAATTACAATGTTTTCCCTCGTCAGATGTGGAGGAGTGGGGTGGAGGAAGGTCAGGGAATGTGGTTTTATTGTGTCCTTTGTATTTGTCCTGCCCAGCATGGGGAAGCCAGCCAGGATAAGTGATGCAGGAGGGGTGATGTGGGATGGCAGGAGGGATTTAGAGCTGGCCCTGCCATCACCTCCACGCCTTGGGATTGCTGGAGAGCTTCCCCAGGAAGGGGGGGCACAGGGGGAATGAGCTTCCATGTGCAGTGGGTGTTCCTGTTGTGATTCCAATCCCTGCTGCAGCTCCAGGGACTGGAAAAGCATTGCCTTGGGAAGCAGCCAGCGCCTGGCAGCATTGGTTGATGTTTGCCAGGCTGTTCCTGCAGCAAGACCTTCTCTGCCTCTCCAGAGGGTGTTGCTCCTGGGATACCTTTGGGACAGCCTCCCTCCAGGGTCCCTCTCCTTGGGATGTTGGGATGGGAAGCAGCCCATCCTCACAGCGGCTCCACCCCCCGCCTTCTCCAAAATCCCCCCTCCAGGCTCCGAGCCTGAGGTGTCAGCTCCTCTTCCATTCAGTCATTTGGGAATTACCAAGGAGGATCCAGGCACTTCCAAATCATTTTAGGCACAAACACGCTGCAAGCAGCATATTTGGCTCTGTATTTTCCCTGCTCCCTGGGAAGGCTGGTGTGGCTGCTCCCTGTGCCGGCTGGTTGAACTTTGTCCTTGGCACAACGAGGCTCATCCTGGGGATGAATATTTTTTTTTAACTGCTGTGAAAATTTCCAGTAGTTTGGGCAACTTCTGAGCTTTTGGCAAAAGTTGTATCCTAATGATCAGCTTCATTCCCAAGCTGTGCAAAGCCTGCAAGGACTCAGCCTCGGGAATGTTTTCCTTAAGGCTTTATGAATTTAAGCAAATTAAGCTGGGGGGGGTTGTCCTGGGGGAATGAGGAATGTTCTCCTTAAAATGTTATGAATTTAAGCAAATTAAATTGAGGAAAAAAACCTGCTGGAGACTGAGGTATTTGCTGCAAACTTCTTTTTTCTAGATGAAGAACAGGAGGAGAAGGAATCTCCACCGAGCTGCAATGAATCAGGTAGGAACAGATCTCCTGAGGGTTTTGGGTTTTTTTTTTGCCTGACTGTTTAATTACTTTGCTTTTAATGAGCTCATCTTCCTCTTTTCCCACTAGGAGAGAACTGCCTGCCACCCTGTGAGCATTGCAGAAATGAAAATGTAGGTTTAGAAGAAAAAGAAAACCAACTCATATATTTTGCATAAGATAATTTGCAACTTGTAATTCCTCTCTCTCACCGCCTTTTTTAAAGATGTATTTTTTTAATATTTATTTATAGGACCAGAAGGAGGAAGTGACCCCAAGGAGACTTGCTGGAGGACAGTTTGTGTATGGCTTTCTTTTTAATATATTGGGTATAAATTTACATTGTTCTCACCAAGATGCTTCAGTGTTTGGTTTAAGTGGGAAAATGGTAACTTGCTGCACAAATACATTTGGAGATATAGTGAAAGATATCCCCAAATCTTTAAAAATAAGCAGTTTAGAGCAGCTGCCTGTGTTGTCTCCAGATCCTGGTCCAAGAAAACTCTTGGGAGGGTTTCCTGCCTCATCTTGCTGCAGTAATTAACATCAGGCACATTTTTATGTGCTCATTTTAGTCTGAACACACATGAGGGATCTTGCCCTGCTTCATCCTCCCCATTAGCAGTGACCTTGCATTTTTCCATGGATCCCAGCCTCATTCTCCCTCTCTCTGCCTTGGAATTGTCCTCAGCGTGGGATGTTGGTGTCCACGTATCCTTTGGTGTTCCCCACGTTGGATGTTGAAGTTGTCCACGTGCAATGTTGGCTCTGACATCGAGTCTGAGCCTTTTGTGTGGCAGCAGCTGCCTCGGGCAGCAAATATTATGCAAAATGCTCATTTACACCTACTTTGCCTACGCTGGCCGGGCCCTGCCAGTGTTTAACTGTCTCATGGCAGCTAAAACACAGAGACAGGAGACAAAAACATTGTTGTGGCTCCTGTGCTGTTCAGATAAAGTGCTGGGGAGGGAGTTTCTCCGTTATCCCTCACAACCCACATTTCCACGGGGTTTTTTGGCGGCGGAAGCCAAGCTAACACGTGTCTCTGCCCACCCCAGGCTGCAGCTGGACGCAGAGGGGACCTACCAGTGCAGCCTCACGGGCTTGATCTTCGAGGTGACGGGCTGTGTGAAGATCACCTACTCCCTGTTGTCCTGGAGCAAGTACGCCAGCCTGGTGGCAAAGCCGTGGATCGTGGGCGGGCCCCTCTTCGACGTGCGCTGCGACTCGGCCCCTGCCCTCACCTCCATCCAGTTCCCGCACTCCCTGTGCCTGGGGGGTGAGTGCCCGGGGGGAAAGGGAGGTGGGATGGGGCTGTTCCTGCAGCGGGAGGTGCTGAGCAGCCCCGTTGTCCCCCAGATCATGGTGCCGGAATGGCCTTCAAGGTGCTGCACGTCAAGGGCGAGGGCGCGGCCATCGAGCCCTCGGCCGCCTACTCGGCCTCGCACGTGAGGTGGGTGGTGAGCTCCCTGTCGCCCGTGGGGCCCCTCATCCAGAGCCAGGAGCCTGTGCAGTACCACGGGGCTGTCATCCTCTACAAAGCCGTGGATGAACATCCCTCCCTGTCCTTCCGGGTCTACGTGGCCACAAACAACGACTCCTTCATAAAGGTGTGGCGCGCGTCGGGTGGGGCGATACGGACACACCGCGGGGCTGGGGGTGGGATCATGGAATGCTTTGGTTTTGGTCCCCCGTGGGCAGGGACACCTTCCACTAGAGCAGACTGCCCTGTCCAACCCGGCCTGGAACGCTTCCAAGAATGGGGATTCCAAGGGATGCCCTTCTCTCACCTCAGTGTTTACGTGCAAAGATATCCATCTCTCCATAATGGGGCTTCCATGCTGAGATGTGCCAAGTTAGGGCGTGGTATTTAAATAATTATACTGGCCAAGGTGCATGATATTTAAGTGATTATATTGGCCAACTTGCCTGCTTCAGCTCTTCTCCCAAATTCCACTAATGAACCTCTGCAGTACCTGGTACTGACAGAAATGTCTGCTAACCCAGAGGATTTTCAGGGAGCTCCTCATAACCTTCCCCACTGCTGTGCTTTTCACATTTGTTTTATATAAATCACCTGAAAGTACCTACAGATGACATGGCAGGGCAGCAACAAAAGTGTGATCTGCCATGGAGACAATTCAACCATTAGGACCAATCTATTTGCTTTGCCAGAGGCCATCCAAGACCTCTACAAGTTTATACATTCCCACTGAAAAGTACCTGGGAATTTGGGAAGGCAGCTGACAATGCATTCATCCACGTGCCTCCAGTTTTTCCTGCTGCCAAAGATCACATCAGAAATGAGAAGTACAGAGCAGAGAGAAAAGAGGAACTAAACCAGGATAAAATTACAGCTTTACAGAATTCCTTGCAATGGAAAAATAATTAGGAAGTTGGTGTTGTACTGATGGTTCAGATCTAGCTGGGCAGGGGGTGTGTCAGGAACATGAGTTTATTTTACCCTGATACAGTGAGGACAGGGACAAATAACCTTCCTTTTATTTGGGATTGCCAACTCTTTTATCTCATTTCACCCCTGTGAACACAGGTTTGAAATGTTAATTTCTTTGCTGAAATGAGTAACCTCAAAACCGTACTTTAAAATTTTAGGACATCTCAAAAGCTGTCAAACATTCAAATAAGAAATTTGTTAAGATTGACAAGCCCCCCGTGTGCCAAAAATTACTGCAGAATGGAAAGAGGTACAGATTGGTTTGTGAGCCAGAAGCTGAAATAACTCCTGAGGTAAGTCCCTTAAACGACCCTCACTTCCTGCATTGCAGCTTCATAGAAATATGGCCCAAAAAGTCTTTTCCTGTACATTCCTGCACTGGCATTAAGGCCATTTTTCACATTCTATTTGCCTCTTAGAGCCCTAAAATTTTGGATGAAATCCTGATGCTACAGCAGCAGAACTTTGAGAGGATTGGAGTTGGGCTCTGTCCCAATTGCCTCCTCTTTAGTTTATATTTTGGGTAAATATTGATTTTTAAAACATTTATGTTGTGTAGGAAATTGAATTTGTTGATGGATCACTCCTGAAACTGAAGAGTTACATTGAAGTGTATGTGGAGAAACCTGATGAGTTCACCTTGTCTCTGGTTGAGCTGGACTCTGATGCAACTGTCTGGAAAGCAAAACTCCGAGAACGTGAGTCTTTGGGCTTCAGGGAATCATGGAATGATTTGGAAGGGACCTTAAGGACCATCTACTTCCAACCCCCCTGCATGTTACTGCATGTTATAATAAATTATTCCATGTATATATAACTTTGCAAATTATTGCACTATAACATACAGTTCTGTTGCCTATTTTGACATGCTGCTGCACGTTGAATAAAAGGGGAAAAAAATCTCATTATATAAAACCTCCTCTCAGGGGTTGGAATCCACCCAACAGCTTTGGTTTGTGCCTGAGAATCGTTGAAAGTTGGGCATAAAAACTGGGAATTCGTCCCTCACCTTTTGTTTCCTCTGCCAACTCTTTCCAGGGGACTGGATCCATTATGATCAGAACAAAAATGAGCAGAAGAGAAGCACAGGCAGTAAGTCAATTTGGGATGTTGGGGTTGGGGTGGCTTGTTCTCTGTGCCCTTCCCTTGCTCCTGTAGCTCAGGAGATGTGACACAAGTGACTTCACCTCTTGCTTCCTTCTCAGGTGTCAAAAAAAGGAAACCAGCCCTCAGCATTTTGGAAGAAGGGGGACTTTGTAGCAAAAAGCAAAAGACTGGTGGCACTGCAGGTACAACCTCTGTGTGTCCTTTAAAATAACATGTGTGGGGTTTTTTGTGTCCTGTGAGACTGAGGGGAGACCTCACTGCAGTTCCAACTTCTTTGGGAAGGGCAGGGACTGAGCTCTGCTCTGTGGGACCAGGGACAGCACCCAGGGAATGGCTGGAGCTGTGTCAGGGCAGGGTCAGGTTGGATCTCAGGAAAAGGTTCTTCCCCCAGAGGCTGGTTGGGCACTGCCCAGGCTCCCCAGGGCAGTGGGCACAGCCCCAAGGCTGCCAGAGCTCCAGGAGGGTTTGGCTGATCCTCTGGGACACAGGGGGTGACTCTGGGGATGGGCCTGGGCAGGGCTGAGGGTTGGACTGGACGATCCTTGTGGGTCCCTCCCAGCTCAGCACATCCTGTGATCCTGTGTAACTGAACTCACTTATTTAAAGACTTCCACAAATCACCACCTGGAATGCTCCAGGCTTGGGGAAGAGCAGTTGGAAAGCTGCCTGTGGGAAGAGGATCCGGGTGTGGGGGTCTACAATGGCTGAACATGAACATGCCCATCCCCATGCCAGGTGGGCAAGGAGGCTGATGGCACCTGGCTGGGATCAGGAATACTTGAGGCAGCAGGACCACAGAAGTGATTTTTTTTCCCTGGGGTGGCCCCACCTCGAGTCCTGGAGGCAGTTCTGGGCCCCTCATGACAAGGACATTGAGGGGCTGGAGCATGTCCTGGGAAGGGAATGGAGCTGGGAAGGGGCTGGAGCAGCAGGAACAGCTGAGGGAGCTGGGGGGGCTCAGCCTGGAGAAAAGGAGGCTCAGGGGGGACCTTCTGGCTCTGCAACCCCCTGACAGGAGGGGGGAGCCGGGGGGGGTCGGGCTCTGTTCCCAGGGAACAAGGGACAGGAGGAGAGGAAAGTTGTGCCAGGGAAGGTTTAGGCTGGATATTAGGAAGAATGTCCATGTCTTTTCAGATGGAATTGGAACAAAAATCCTGACGGACCAGCAGCTGATGGCAGTCGCGAAGCAGTTGGGGCGGCAGTGGAAGGAAATCGCCATCGAGTGCCTCGAGATGGAGATGAAGGACATCGAGGAGATCCAGGGCATGGAGGACGAAGTCAACATGCAAAAATTCCTGGTGCTGAGGAAGTGGAGGGACAGGCAACAAAGCAATGGCACTGCAGAAGCTCTGCAGAGGAGTCTGGGTGACAAAGGATCCTATGAGCTGGAGCTAATGCTGCAAGGTATCTCCCTCTGGGTTTGTTGAATCCCATCCCTGTTTGTTGAATCCCATCTCAGCTGTGTTTTAAGAATTCCCATCAGAGAATTCACCAAATCCCCGGTGCATGGTTGACTGTGTAGGTCAAAATTGTCTCCCTTCCGTTATCAGAGTGATTCTCTTTTTCGTGGCATTTTTATCGTTCCTTTCAAAAATCAAAATAAATAAAAAATGAAAAAGAAATTACAATCTCTTATAAAATGAAGAATATTTCTGCACTGACTGTGTTGAGAGCACTCTCAGCATGACCTGGCTGTCCTGGCCAAGCAGGTCAGTGTTATACACCCAAACCAATTCTTGGTCTTCTCTGGAAGTCCCAAGAGGAGATGTTTGAGTCTTTATTCTTATGTATTTTTATTTGTTCTTATGTATTCTTCTGTTTTTGTGTATTTTAATTAACACCTTTCCCTGAGTGATGACTTAGCAGTTCTGAGAACTGTCCCTGCCCCTGGCAGGGGGTTGGAATTTGCTGACCTTTAAGGTCCCTTCCAACCCAGACCATTCCATGATTCCATGAACCAACCGAGGGGAATTGTCCTCAAAAACTAAAGGTTGTTTTTTTCTACAACAGCAAAACCTTGTTCTTTTTTAATTCCTTAACTAGGACAACAGAAAATGACCTCAGGTTGTGCCAGGGGAGGCTTAGGTTGGATATTAGGAAAAATTTCTTCATGGAAAGGGTTGTGAAGCCCTGGGACAGGGTCAAGTCCCCATCCCTGGAGGGATTTAAAAGCCCTGTGGATGTGGCACTTGGGGACGTGGGTTGGTGGTGGCCTTGGCAGTGCTGGTTGGCCTTGATGGTCTTAGAGGTCTTTCCCAACCTGATTCCATGCCTAATTCTCCCTAAAAACAACCTGGCTGTAAAGGGTGGAGAGCTGTCCCTCCCAAACCTGTCTGTGCCCCAGCCTTGCGCTGCCTCGGGGCGTTTTAATACGTTTATTATTCCTCTGGAATATTTTGTAATGCAGTTTTAATTCACCTGGAATACTGCAGTGACTCCCAGGGCTCAGATAACCCCCGTGTGTTTGTGTGTTTTCCTTCCCTCAGGTTTCTCAGCTCAGTGCTGAGCTGGAAGGACCTGCAGTGGGAGCTGCCCCATCCAACCATTCCGCTCCTCTGGGATCTCGCTGGGATTCAGGAAGGAGGATGCAAAGCATCATCACTCAGAGGAAAGGTTGGGCTGGATCTTCTCAAGGAATGTGAATGAAATTTTGGATATAAGCCACTTCCAAGACTTCCAGGAGCTGTGGATCCCGATATCTCCGGGCTTCACCCGCAGGGAATGCCACCACTGCCACCTCCTTTGAGCCTCTCCTAAAAGATGGGAACACTGGAAGAAACCAGGTTGAATTGTTCGCTCCAGGATCACTACCTGGAAAAGATTTTCATTTACATCAGGGAAAAACAGGGAGAAAAGTTACACAGGAACTTTCATCCCCTCAAAAACCCCTACTGAAGTGCCCGAAGCGGGAGGTACATTGGATTTCTCATGGATGTCCAAAATCAGGGAAGGATAATCCTAAACTTGCAGACAAATTCCTTTGCATAATCACTGTGTATATATAATTCCTGTATATACTCCTGTACATTCAGTCCTTGTTAAGCTGTGGTTCTCTTCTCTAAAAACCCCAAAGACTGATTTCACAGAAGCACCACTATGTACTCCAGGCAGCTTGGAATTTTCCCTGGGAATTTCTTTGCTACTCTTCTCTGTATAGTTGTATTTTTATGAGACAGGTTTTTTTTTTTTACGTTGTATAATTTGTTTTTTATATGAGAAACTTTTTCTATTTTTTACTTGATTCGTTTTAACTCGAATTAGGTGCTTAAACTACCATGGGAGGAGCCAAAATCCCTGGGAAGGCCCCCCACGTGCTACAGAATTGGAAAAGATTTGGGAATAATGTGATTTGCAGAACGAGAGCGGTGACCTGATCCGGGATTGTCTGATTTTTAAGGACGTGGGATGCTTGGGATCACCTTCCTCTGAGTGTGTTCATGAAAGAAAAAAGCAAACTTAAAAAAAAAAATAAGGATTAAAGGGGAACCATTGACACTATTTACATATGATTTTGGATTTATTTTTTAATTTTAGCTGCTGGATGAAGCGTTGTGAGGTCGTTGCCATCTCTCCAAGCCTTGATGCTTCTGCTGCTGCAGCATCTCATTCCACACCTTCCACTAGCCCAGGTTGCTCCAAGCCCCATCCAACCCCATCCAAGATGGAAACAGGATTTTAAAATATCCCAGTTACCTTTACATGCCAGCAGTATTCCAAGTATTTTAAAAGTATTCTTGTTGTATCTCCAGGAACAACAGTCACTACGATTTTTAAGCCAATTTGAATTTTATTAGGCAATAAATAGAATAAATAAGGAATATAACATATCATAAATAAATCATGGAATAGGATATCCTGAGTTGGAAGGGACCCACGAGGAAATGGATTATTATAAATAGGTCTCAACTGGGGAAAAATAAGCTGAATAAATAAAACATGATAAATTAGAGTTGGTGCTAAAATCTAGCTTATTTCCTAGAAATGTAGAAGTTTAACCTGACAGTTCCAAAGGCACTGGCACAGCTCCCTAAAAAAAAATGATTTATGGAAACTGTGACTATTAAAAATTCCTTTTAAACCCCCTCCCGAGCACGTGGCAGGGGGTCGATCCCGCTGGTTTTTTTTTTCTCTCCAAGGAATCCTCAGGTTGGGTGTGCTCACAGGGAGCTCTCCGGGGAGCTCAGGAAGTTCATCATCCTGGAGATGGTGAGGGAGCGGATCCGGAGGGCCTGGAGCACCCGGCACAGCCGCAGCCTCTCCGGGAATGACTCCGGGCCCGCTCCCGCCGGCGGCTCCGGAACCTTCCGGCTGCTGTTCAGGGCCTGGCACAGGGAAAGGAGTTACAACCATCCCACCCATCCCAAAACCTCCCCGGGGCTTTTTTACCCCCCACGGATAAAGGGTAAGATTTGGGAATAAGAGTGTGTTTGTATAAGTGAAACACTGGGAATATTTAATTGTGTCGTTGGTAGGCCGAGGATGGAATTGGAATTATTTAATTAATATATTTAATTGTGTCATTGGTAGGTCGAGGATGGAATTGGAATTATTTAATTAATATATTTAATTGTGTCATTGGTAGGTCGAGGATGGAATTGGAATTATTTAATTAATATATTGAATTGTGTCGTTGGTAGGTCGAGGATGGAATCGGAATTATTTAATTATTTAATTAATATTTTTAATTGTGTCATCGGTAGGCCGAGGATGGAATTGGGATTATTTAATTATTTAATTAATAATAATTAATATTTAGTTATTAATGGGTAAAAGTCAAGGTATTTAATGGTATGATTAAGAGGGTAATTTTTGAAATATTCAGAGGATCAAATTTCAAGTATTGAATGTAATTAATAGGAAAAATTTGAACTAGTTAATGTTAGAATGGGACAAATTTTGAAATATCGAATGAGATTACAAAACGTAGGATAAAAGTTGAAATATTTAATGTTATAATCAATAGGGCAAATTTTGAGGTATTTAATGATACCATTACTAGACAGGATAAAATTTGGAATATTTAAGGTTATAATTAATAGGGTAATTTTTTAAATATTCAGTGGTATTAATAGGATAACATTGGAAATATTGAATGTAATTAATAGGAAAAATTTGAACTATTTAATGTTAGAATAGGACAAATTTTGAAATATTTAATGGCACCATTACTAGACAGGATAAAATTTGAAATATTTAATGTTATAATTAAGAGGGTAAATTTTGGGGTATTTAATGATATGATTACTAGACATATGACAAAATTTGAAATAATGTAACTAATAGGATGAGTTTTGAAATATTTAATGATATTATTAGCAGACTTAGGATAAAATTGGAAATAATGATACAATTAATAGACTGAGGATGGGCAGCTGGACTTGCCTTAAGACAAAATTGTCCCTTCAGAGGCTCTTTCTGCCCAGGAATAAGGATTGGTTTTAATAACAAACCCATGGCCAGGTTTATCTAGAGACCCTTTAGGCTGGACTTATCTCCCCAGGCTATACTGGGAGATGCTGTGCCAACACAAAGGCAATTAATTAAGGTTTTTTAGTTAGCTTTTATTAAACCAACAAGTTTTTAACATCTATTCCCTCTACTCACTAATATTTATCACAGTTCAGTCCATCCATATTCAGTCCCCCAGGTGTGTTATATCCCAGTATTTGAGAGGGAAATAGAGCTGGGTCCCTTTTATTCTGTATTTGCTCTATTTTTGAGGTTTATTCTGTATTTACTCGATTTTTGAGGTCTCTGAGGAGAGGGAGGAGGCAGAAAATACTCACTTTCATCATCTCATCGAGACTTGCCAGCACTTGGTGATCGTGGAAGTTGTTGAGCTCTGCCCTGTAAGCACTCAGATCCTCATAGATGCCCTGCAGGCATTTCCTCTGGGAAAGGCAGAACCATCAGGAAATGTGGGAATCTGCTGTTAAATCCACAGTGAGCAAAAAAAAAAAAGGGATTCTTATGGGAAATTTGCAATTTACCTTATCAAAAGTTGATCCTTCCAGTGCTGGACAGTTCCCAGTCTGCAAATTAAAGCAGAAATGAGTGTAAATTATGTGCCTGTGCCATGAAAATATAGGCTGAAACTTTAATTTTTTATATATATATATATATTTATATATTTTACCTCTAGACCTTCAGATGTGCAAGCTTTTATTGTGTTTGTTTGGTTCTTAGTGATATCTTCAGGATCAACCTCTTCAAGGGTACATTCAAATCCCAGGGTGTCGAGTTCCTGTGTGAAAAAGGGAATAAAAAAAGGGTCATTGACTCAGTTTCATAGTATAGTGTATATATATATATGTATATTTATGTATATATATGTATAAAAATATAAATTTACATATATATATATGTGTGTGAATGCAAAAATATGGGATGGATCCCAGCTTAGCTGAATCCTAGGGATGAGGCTGTGTGAGGACTCTGGTTAAATATGAAAGGTAGAAAATAGACTGGGAATAAGCTCAGAGCTTTGCACAGCTTTGGTTTATGTGTTGTTGGGAATTGCTCTGCCTCTTCTGCTTTAAATTATTCTCTCAGACGTTGAATCCATGGAGAACTTTATGTCATTTTAGTTTCAAAGGTAAAGGATCTCTTGGAAAGTGAAAAATGGCCAACACCATCCTCACAGATGTGTAACAGGGTGGGGAACAGCCCCCATTTAGTGCTGGGGGTTTTTGGGGTCCCCTGAGGTGGAGACTGCAAAGATAGCAGGGAATTGTAGCAAAAAGGAAAGGCTGCTGAGCAAACCCCCACCCTGAAGGGCTGAGCAGGGCAAGTGTGAAACCAGAGGGTCCTAAAGGGAGGCTACAGGGAATATCCACCCTCCTGGGGACCCTCAGCAGCCCCTCACTGCCCAGCTGGGCAACTTCACCTGCCTGGGCACCAGTATAGTCCATCACTGTCCTTTTGGGTACCACCACTGCCCCAAACTGCCCTCTTGGGCACCATCAATGCCCCAAACTGTCCTCTTGGGCACCATCAATGCCCCAAACTGCCCTCTTGGGCACCTTCACCAACCCATCACTGTCCTGGGTACCACACTGCCCCAAACAGCCTTCCTGGGCACCACCAATGCCCCATCACTGTCCTGGGCACCACCACTGCCCCATCACTGCTCTCCTGGGTACCTTCACCAACCCATCACTGCCCTCCTGGGCACCACCAATGCCCCATCACTGTCCCGGGCACCACCACTGCCCCATCACTGCCCTCCTGGGCACCACCACTGCCCCATCACTGCTCTCCTGGGTACCTTCACTGACCCATCACTGCCCGTCTGGATACCATCACTATCCCATTGCTGCCCTCCTGGATACTGTCACCAACCCATCGCTGCCCTCCTGGGTACCACCACTACCCCATCACCACCTCCCTGGGTACCACCCCATCACCCCACCCCATGTCCCGTCCCCATCCTGCCCATCCCGCTCCCCGCCGCGCCCCTGTCAGACCTTCAGCCTTTGGAGGGAGGTGTCGGCGGCCTCCAGCAGCTCCCTGGAGCGGTTCAGCGCCGCGGGGGTGGGCAGTGCCGGGGTGGGCAGTGCCCGGGATGGGGCGGGCAGTGCCCGGGCCGGGGGCAGCGGGAGCAGCGCCAGGAGCAGGCAGAGCGCGGGCAGCAGTGCCCCCCGCGGGCCGCCAGGCGGCGCTGCCCGCCCGCTCCCGGTATTCCCGATGATCCCGGTGATCCCGGTGATCCCGGAGCCGCTCTCGGTGCTGCCGCTCCGCTCCATCCCGCTGCTGTGGGAGCGGGCCGGGCCCGGCTCTTATAGGGGCTCCGGAGCGGGAGTTCCCCCTGCGCTCCTCCCTCCCCCCGGCCCGGGGGCAGCCGCGACTCATCCCGAGAGCGGCGGGGCCGGGAATCCCGCCCGGCGGGGGGGGCGGGGATCCCGCGCTGAGCCCGGCCGGGGGTGCTGCGGGGCAGCGCTGGAGCTCCTGCCTTCGGGGCTGTGCCCTTGGAGCACAGGACTGGCCGAAAAATAGGGCTGGTGTGCGGGACGTGGATAAGCTTTCCGTGGAATCACGGGATAGTGGAATCGCAGGTTGGGTTGAAGGGACCTTAGAGATCGTGTCATTCCACCCCCTGCCATGGGCAGGGACACCTTCCACTAGCCCAGGTCGCTCCAAACCCCGTCCAAGCTGGCCTTGGACACTTCCAGGGATCCAGGGGCAGCCACAGCTTCTCTGGGCAACCTGTGCCAGGGCCTCCCCACCCTCCTAGCCAAGAATTCCTTCTCAATATCCCATCTAACCCTCCTCTTGCCATTCCCCCTTGTCCTGTCACTCCATGCTCCAGTAAATAGTCTCCCTCCAAGCTTTTCCATTTCTATTCTTTATTTTAGTGTCTCCCCCCAAGGAACAAGCAACAGGACAAGAGGGAACAGCCTCAAGTGGCATCAGAGAAGATTTAAATTGCATATTAGGGAAAATTCCTTCATGGAAAGGGTAGCCAAGTGTTGGGACAGGCTGCCCAGGGTAGTGATGGAGTCCCCATCCCTGGAGGGGTTTAAAAGCTGTGTGGATGTGGCACTTGGGGAGAGGGGTCAGTGGTGGGATTGGCAGTGCTGGGGACGATTGGTCTCCATGGTCTTAGAGCTCTTTTCCAGCCTGAATGATTCCAGGATTCTCTGATTCTATAATGATGAGATCTCATTGATGAATACTTGTGAGAACGTGCCTGAAGAGTTGATTTTGCTAGTCTACTCGGGATAAAACCCAAATATTTCACCATCAGCTCTCACTACACGTGGTCATCCTTAGCTGGGCCAAAAGGCTGAACAAAGCTCTTCGTGTGCTGTGAAGTCACTGGGATTTTTGCTGTCAAGGGAGAAGGGAGCAGGATGAATCAAGAGGTTTATATTGCATTTTCAGATTGTTTTTATTTTAATTGGCAGCTTGTTTCCTATAAGAAGGCTGTGGTGTGCCCAGACACTCGCTTTGCTCCCAGAGCTGCATCATTTTCCAATTTCTGGCTGTGTTTTCCACTTCTGCTCCAGTCATTCCTCTGTGGGCTGTGGTTTTCAGCCTGTGTAAGAGACAAGAGTCTTTTCTGACCCAAAAGTGAAAGAGAACTTCAGGATGTGCTCCCAGGGGTGTTCTTGAAAAGGCATCACTTCGGCTTTCCAGGTTTCTTTGCTGGATGTTCTGTCACAGCGTTCACAGAAGTACACGAGGTTTCCCATCAGGTGGGGCACAGTTTCTTTTCTATGGTGTTCCTGTGCTGCACTTCAGCCTGGGCTGGGATTTTAGCGGGAGTTCTTTGTCCAAAAGGGGGAATATTTACCTCAAGTGCCTTCAGAGGTCTCTGAGTGCCAGGAATGTCCCGTTGTTCCAAGTGTTTCCAAAGCAGAGGAGCTTTCCTGGCCGCTGGTCCCTCAGCCTGAGAGTTGGGTAATGTGTTACTGAGACATAGGGTGGGTTTAATTCGCTGAGAAATTGGGATATATCCTCATTTTATCTTTTATATATATCCTATAATCCTTGCTGTGGCTGCCCCATCCCTGGAAGTGTTCCAGGCTGGGTTGGACGGGGCTTGGAGCACCCTGGGCTAGTGGAAGGTGTCCCTGCCCATGGCAGGGGGTGGCACTGGATGAAGTTTAAGGACCTTTCTAAGCCAAACCATTCCATAATTTTATGATTCTATGGTATAAACACAAAGGAACATCAAAGCCCGACCCATAGATCCAGAATTATTCCCATTCCATTAGAGCATTGCTTCCCACTCCACACTTGCCCCAAGTAGAGAAGACAGACACAGAACTGCTCAAAGAGTATCATATTTTAATATAATACATCATAATATATCGTACATTAGCTTCTTCTAATATAATTATTATAAACAGTAATTATCAAGATTCATTCATGCTCAAGGCTGGTCAAACAGAGGATTCTTTGGGATGAAGGAGGAGATTTCAAAGGGATTTCTTCTCTTATCAAGAAAAAAATCCACTCATCAGAATTAGAATCAGAGAATCACAGAATGGTTTGGGTTAGAAGAGACCTCACAGTTTCTCTGGGCAACCTGAGCCAGTGTCTCACTAATATAATACATATAATATATATATTATATGTATATTATATATTTATAGATAGATATACAGATTTTTATAAATATGTACACAGATTTTTATATACCTATATATGCAGATTTATATATATAATATAAATAAAAATAAATATAATATTTACAGATTGCCACGTAATATTAATGTTATCTCGGGGAGTTAGATGTAATAAAGGTATTGTGTCTTGATCTCAGGTGCCTGATCTCATCAGGCAAATGAAGGATTATAAAGGTGGAGTGATGAATTTATTATTAAAACAAGAAAGACAGGGCTGTATCATCTGCTTATTTAGAGATACTGTGCAGTAATTGCATACTAAGGTCTATTAAGGCAGTTAGAAGATGTATTATTTCACATGAGAAAATGTAATTCCATGGGCTTCATTTCAATTTTAAAGAACAATTTCAATTTTAAAATGTTTTTTGCTGATACCACACCCAGAGAAAAATAAGAACCATATCTGGTCTTGCTGTTAAACTGCATTTTAACTCTGTTGTCATCAAAATTAGGGGAACCCCTGCTCCTGGCTTGGCTGCCCTTGAGCAAATCAATACTTCAAAATCCTGCTTGAAAAAGAAAGGGAAAACAGAAATAAGAAAGAAACCCCTTTAGCAAAAAAACCCAAACTGCAGGGGTTGAGCTCAGTTGGGTTTTGAGGGCTGTACAGGCAAGTGCTGAGAAATAGGATCTTCTCCAGCCACACTCTTCTAAAAATCAGGGAGGTTCCTGGAAATTGGGGCTGGCCCTTTGTTTCAGTCTTGGCTTGGCTCCTCTCCCCTCTAATAAATACAAATCTCATTTTTTGCCTTCATGTTCCCCTCCAAGACCGAGGTAAATGAAGACCATCTACACGCAATCCACAATTTCTATGAGGCAAATGATGTTTAGGGATATTTCCCGCCTGGATCTCTCGTTCTGTGGTGTCATTTCTGCTGTAATATATAAAATTAAGTGAGTTTTCCCCATGACCAAGCCAGACACCAAATCCTCTGTGAAGGTCATGTAGTAACAAATATTTAATGGGAAGAGTTTGGTTATTTGTAGGGGAGTCTTATTTCCTGTGATTATAATTAGGCAATATTTTAGTGTGTATAATTATGGAATAATTATATACATACAGAAATTAAAGCTGCAGAAAGATTAAATCCCAGCCCAGCTGACAGTTAACTAGTTGCTACATAGAAATAATGGCAAAATATTGTGTGGAATAGGATTTCTGGATTTATTATTCAACAAATAAAACTAGTTTTTACACTATTTGCCCCTCTCAGAACACGTGGAATATTGAATCATACTTTTGCTCCTGGATGATTTTTTTTTTGGAAGATCCAGGGTCAGATTTATCACCAGAACAGCCTCCCTGACAGAAGTGTTGTCTCTGGTTTGGGTTGGGAGCTGATGGCTCCATAAAATAGGAGAGTGAAGACTTGAAAGGAACTTTCCTGGTGTTTTTTTGGCTCTTGGTGCTTATTCATGGTGGAATCCCCTGAAACACATCATCCCAAACAGCTGCTTGTGCTGAGATTTCATCAGTGTGGGATCAAATGGTGCTTCTGAAGCCTTCCTGCCCTGGCAGTTGGGTGCTGGAACCTGTAAAATCCTGGTTCAATCACCTGCATGTCTTGGCTCTTCTCTCTTCCAGGTGCTGCTGGAATTCCCACAGTTTTCCCCGTGGTCCCACCATGTCCTGCAGCATCTCTGCTCTCCACTGCTGGACCCTGGAGTTGGCTTCCTGGTGACAACCTGGCAGCTCTGTGTCCTTGAGGGATCATCCAGATGCAGAGGATGTTATTTGCAGGCACTGCTCCAAAGCTTGAATCCACTTTCCGAGGTAGAACCATTCCTGGGAAAGGGATGGAGCGGGTGGGTGCCACTGGATAGGGGTTGTGGCTCCCTAAAAAGCACACAGGTGTTGGAATGGGTGTGTTATGGGCAGGAAACTTCTCCCACTGACACGAGAGGAGTAGATACTGGGGAGAAATTCTTCCCTGGGAGGGTGGGGAGGTCCTGGAGCAGGTTTTCCAGAGAAACTGTGGCTGTCCCATCCAGGTTGGAGCAACCTGGTCTAGAGGAAGATGTCACTGCCCATGGCAGGGGGTGGCACTGGATGAGCTTTAAGGTCCCTTCCAACCCAAACCATTCCATGACTATATGACTCCATGGGGGTAAAACTCCCCATCAGCCCTGTGGGGTTTGTTTCCAAGTTTCATGGCATTAATAGAAATAAAAAACTCCTGGAGGACCATCATGGGCTGGATGGAGCTTCAGTGGGTGCCATGGGCTGGGCATCCCCTGCTCCTGCAGCAGAGCACAGGGTGGTGATGCCTCTCCTGCCCATCACCCCAGGATTTTGGGAACCCCTGAGCTCACCCTTCGGCTGTGCCTTCTCCTGCCCATCACCCAAGGACTTACCATCAGCAAATTTGCAGCTGACACTAAACTGGGGGGGAGTGTTGATCAGCTGGAAGGCAGGAGGGCTCTGCAGAGGGACCTGGACAGGTTGGAGACTTGGGCTGATTCCAACGGGATGAGGTTCAACCAGGCCAAGGGCCGGGTCCTGCACTTTGGCCACAACAACCCCCGGCAGCTACAGGCTGGGCCAGAGGGGCTGGAGAGCAGCCAGGCAGGAAGGGAGCTGGGAGTGGGGATGGCCAGGGAGCTGAACAGGAGCCAGAGTGTGCCCAGGTGGCCAAGAGGGCCAATGGATCCTGGCCTGGCTCAGGAACAGTGTGGCCAACAGGTCCAGGGAAGTGATTCTGCCCCTGGACTCAGCACTGGTGAGGCCACCCCTGGAGTGCTGTGTCCAGCTCTGGGCCCTCAGCTCAGGAAGGACATGGAGGGGCTGGAGCAGGTCCAGAGAAGAGCAACGAGGCTGGGGAAGGGACTGGAGCACAAGTGCTGTGAGGAGAGGCTGAGGGAGCTGGGGGGGCTCAGCCTGGAGAAGAGGAGGCTCAGGGGAGACCTCCTCACTCTCTGCAACTCCCTGACAGGAGGGGGGAGCCGGGGGGGGTTGGTCTCTTTTCCCAGGCAATGATCAGCAAGACAAGAGGGCTCAGTCTTAAACTGTGCCAGGGGAGGTTTAGGTTGGATATTAGGAAGAATTTCTTTGCAGAGAGGGTGCTCAGCCATTGGAATGGGCTGCCCAGGGAAGGGGGGGATTCTCCATCCCTGGAGGTGTTTAAGGACAGACTGGATGTGGCATCAGTGCCATGGGCTGGGAACCACAGCAGGGTTGGATCAAGGGTTGGACTGGATGATCTCAGAGGTCCCTTCCAACCCAGCTGATTCTATGACTCTATGACTCCAGGAACCCCTGAGCTCACCCTTGAGCTGTGTCTGCTCTGTCCCCAGCCCCGAAAGCACCGGGTGAGTAACGGGCCGTGCCAGCGGTGCCCGTGGGCTGCTGGCACTTTCGGGGAGCTTTCTCTCTCACTTTCAGTTTTCACACCCTGCAGAGTTTCTCATCTCTGGGTTTGGGGTTTTTTTTTGGTTTTGTTTTGTTTTTTTTTTTTCTGCTCTCTCATCCATCCCTTTAATCTCCTCCTGCCTGTGGGTGCAGATGCTGTGGCTCCAATGTGGTGACCAGGCAGGAGGAGAGCAGGGATGGGACAAAGGGCTCTCTGGAGTTTTGCTCTCTCCTTGCTGCTTTTGCATTTGCCCTTTCACTTGGCACTGGTTTTGCACCTGGAGAAAAAAAAAGAAAAGTTGATTTTGGGTGACCAGCAGCCTAATCAGTGGGGTTTTTTTGTGTTTCTTTGATGCAACATGATTTTTTGAGTCACTGAACAATGGATTCCTCCACCCCATGCTGGAGAAGCAGTGCCAGCTGGTGGGAATCCAGGCTCAGATGGAGAGGTCACAGTCTGACATGCTTGGGGATACCCTGAGAGCTGCTGCCATGACTCATGGGCAGAGAATTCCCTGCTCAGAGAGGGAACCAGGCCCAAGGACACGTATTTGGTGGGAGTTGTTCAAACACCGGTCCCCCAGGAATGCTGTTCCCTGGATTTCACCAGTGCTGGCTCCCCCATGCTGCTCCTCCTCTGGGTCAGGCACTCTCCTGGCAGTTTAGTTTCTCTGCAGGAACACAATTTAATTGTTTTAATGTACTTTGGTGAGGATAAAAAGGAAATAAATGCAGTCTCAGTGGAGTGAAGCTCTGACCAAAAGGAGATTATTACCCCCAGGGCTTTGTGGGAAAGGTGGGGAAGGGACCAGCCCTTCCCACTAAACAAATGGTGGGAAAGCTACAAGAAAGCTGGAGGACTTTGGACAAGGGCCTGGAGGGACAGGGAACGGCTTCCCACTGCCAGAGGGCAGGGATAGATGGGATATTGGGAAGGAATTCCTGGCTGAGAAGTTGGTGAGGCCCTGGCACAGGTTGCCCAGAGAAGCTGTGGCTGCCCTGTCCCTGGAAGCGTCCAAGGTCAGGTTGGAGCAACCTGGGCCAGTGGAAGGTGTCCCTGCCCATGGCAGGGGTTTGAGACTAGATAACCTCTAAGGTCCCTTCCAACCCACCCCATCCCATGGTTCCATGGTGATTCCAGGAGCGTGGTGGCACCCCGGGGTGACCCGGGTGCTGTGGTGCTGCTGTGGTTGGTGCCTGTTGGCACAGGGGGTGCAGAAACCAGCTCTGGTGCCAACCAGAGCTTCCTCTGCTGCAAGAGGAAGCTGCTGCCTGTAAAGAAACTTGCTCAGCACAGCCCTGGGGGAGAACCCTCCTGCCCTCGGAGTTTCAATTACGAAAAAAAAAAAGAGATTATTGGGTTTTATGCAGAGCACAGGAAGTTTAGAGGGGGTTCACCTCAAAGCACGTGAGTTGGGCTCTGGCAGCTGCCGCCAGGGCAGCCTGATTTTCCCACGCTGGAGCTGGGGGTTCACTGCATGAAGCAAAAAGAGCCTGGGGAAGGAGAAACTTTGTTTTTTCCGTGTCCAGGCGTTTTGTGCTCGTGGTGACGTCCAGCTGCCAGGCTTTGCAGGGCACCCAAACCTTTCCTTGGTGGGCTGAGCTGAGCTGCGACCCACAAATGACTGCACAGCCTCTTCCAACCCCAAATATCTGCTGCAGGGTCTTGACCCTCGGATGGACACGTGGGCTGGTGTCCCTTCTCTTCCCAGACATCGTGTTCCAAGCAGTGGGAAGCAGGGTGAGTGGCCTGACACAGTGATGGAGATCCCTTCCCCACTCCCAAAAAAATAGATCTCTGTGTGCTTTTGGAGCTGCAGAGCCCCTTCCCAGCCCTTATTCTTGCTTTGGGGGTCAGTCCTCTTAGCCAGGAGTGCCGGGTATTCCAGCAAAATTCCCTGAGTGCCTGATGGGATTTTTCCCAACCAGTGCCTGCCTGGGGGTGTCAGCCCTATGTCCACAGTGGGATGGGGGCAACACCTGGGAAAATTCCTCCTCCCACAGCCCTTTCCAGGCAGTAGAGGAGTGCTGAGCTGGCTGCCTGGAAAGGGCTCTGTCAGCTCCGGAGATCCAGGGAAACCCTGCAATTCCTGTTTTTCACCCAGCTCTGCTATTTCACTTTTCATTTGGAGGGAAGGGAATGCCCTTCCCCAGATGTGCTGCTCATAGGAGGTGACAACGATCGGTGTGGTGGCCAGGCTCTGCTCTCAGTCCTTCATGGCAACTTTTCCATTGGCAATAGAGTCAGAATCCCAGTTTGACCTCAAATCCTAAAAACCAGGGACTAGGAGAGGCTGTGGTGGCTCAGAACCTCTGGTACCACCAAGAACTGGGATAAATTATTTCACATCAATCCTCTTTTTTCCCCTCCAAAGCTCAGAGACTTAAAAAAAATAATATTTTCCCACCAAGAAGGAGCTGCTGGTTGATATAAGGGAAGAGGGAAGGTCTAATCCCAAATCTAATCAGGAAAAGCTGCTTTAGCACCAGATTTGATCCCTGCTGGCAAAGCACCCGGAGTCCCTGCTGCCAATGGCTCTGCCCTGTGCAGGGTGTCCCTGCTCACCCCTGGAGCAGCAGATGGAGGATGGAGGATCCCTCACACATGGGTTTCACTTTGTTTTACAATAAGAGGGAAGAGAAACTCGGTGGGAACAGGCGTGGGCTGCTGTGGGGAAACGAGGACCGACCAGAACAACCCCCCCCCGGCTTTTCCTTGGGGATGCCCTTGGCAAAGCTGAGCCTCCCTCGGGGCTGGCAAGGATGGGTTTGCTTTGAAGAGGTAAAAAACCATCTCTTTCAGGCTGATCACCTTCCCTGGCTGTGGTGCAAAGCAACGGGAGCATCCTCAGGTGGGCTGGGAACAGGAGGCACACGCAGGAGTTTGGGTTCCCACGTCCTAAAACTTCCCATCTGAACCTGCACAGGACTTAACTCTCATAAATTCATTAATGCTTCTCCTTTGAAGGATGAAATAAGAAATGTAAAACACTGTGTGCATGGTTTTCATGGATTCATGGAAACATGGAGTGGTTTGGGTTGGAAGGGACCTGAAGATCGTCTCGTTCCACCCCCTGCCATGGGCAGGGACACCTTCCACTAGCCCAGGGTGCTCCAGGCCCCATCCAAGCTGGCCTTGGACACTTCCAGGGATCCAGGGGCAGCCACAGCTTCTGGTTTCCCAGGCTCCCAGTCCCTGGCAGTGCCCTGTGCCCAGGGAGATGAGCTCAGCACGGCACCGGGAGCTGCTGGGCTGGGGGAGGCACAAAAAAGGGAGAAAACCAAAAAAGGGGAACCCAAACCACAAGGCTTCCCTGAGAGGAAGCAACTGCCTCATAAAGCTCATCCCTGTTCCCAAGGGCTGATGTAATTAATGTCAGCAGGATGTTCTCTCATCTCATGAGAATGATTTTTTTTTTTTTTTTTTAATATTACTGCAGCATTTCGTGCTTTTCCAGCACAGGTGAATTTAGGACCAACAGACAGACTCAAAAGCATGAAGAAATGTTATGGGATGAGACCAGCTGGAGGCAGGTAAGGAAAAGCAAGCAGAATTTCCCCTGGATGGCCAGGATTGACTGAGGAAGGGGAGTGTGACTGGGACAGGACACACCAAGGAGCAGGTCCTGTCCTGCCCAGCTCAGGGAGCACGAAAAAATCAATGGGGTAAGAGCTGAAAACCCACAAGCTCCAAAATTGTTTCCAAACTGCACAAAACTCTGTGCCTGTCCCAAAATGTCCCTTCCAGTGCCTAAAGGGGCTCCAGGAGAGCTGGAGAGGGACCTGGGATAGGGGATGGAGGGATTGGACAAGGGGCAATGGCTTCCCACTGCCAGAGGACAAGGTTAGATGGGATATTGGGAAGGAATTCTTGGCTGGAAGGGTGGGGAGGCCCTGGCACAGGTTGCCCAGAGAAGCTGTGGCTGCCCCTGGATCCCTGGAAGTGTCCAAGGCCAGGTTGGAGCAACAGGGCTTGGAGCAACGTGGGCTAGTGGAAGGTGTCCCTGCCCATGGCAGGGGGTGGAACAGGATGAGCTTTCAGGTCCCTCCAACCCAAACCTGTTTGTGATTCCATGATCCCTGCAGGTGACATTTTCCTGCCCCAGCCCACCCAGCCCTGAGCTTTCCTTGACTTTCCAATCATTTGAACATTTTGTCCAAACAAACATTTTTTTTTTTTTTTCCAAAAAAATTACGGGCAAGGGGACACAGACAACACCAGTGACTGGATGCCAAATCCTGCTCCTGGGGTTGAGCAGTGGCCACTGTCAGAACAGAAGCTGCTTATTACTGGCCCTGCTGAGCTCACCCCGAGTGACCTTTTTCCTGAGAGCCCTCAGAGCCTCCGTGGGGGAATTCAGCTCCGGGGTTGCAGTGCTGACACCAGGAGTCACGAGTGGAGCCCTGTAAATGCCCCATTTGTGGGAGAAAAGCATCAAAAAAATTTAAAAAAAAAAAATAAAAAATTGAGGCAGAACAACCCCCCAAAATCCTCCTCAAGGACGGGGCTCCCAAAAATCCCACGCTGCGAAGAACAGCTCTTCCCTGTGGATATACAGAATTAGTACAGCTGGTGCATGGATAATGTGGGGAGGTTGGGGGCACCTCCATCCCCACACGGATGCAGGGCTGGGAGGTGTTTTTCCTGCCTGCATCAGGTATTTTTGGTGAGTCCCTGGCTCAGGAGGAATTTTTCCTGTTGCCCACTGCGAGCCTGTAGGAGGAGAACAGTTCTCAGTTTGGCATCTGTGGGAGATGGTTTGTTTGGTGAGGACAAGGAGGGAAAGGAACAAAAAAACCCACCCAGGACAGAGGAGACACAAAGTGGGGCCACTCAAAAATAAGTGACAAAATACATCTTGCCCATGACAAGAGCTCAGAAACCACACCAGAACCTTCTGTTTTAAAAATATCCTTTAATCCATCAATCCCACAGCATTCCCAGCTCAACCCCCCAAGAACAGAAGGGGGAAAACCAGTGGTGGGTGACTGGAATAACAAGTTCTCTCCAGCAAATTAAAGGCACCTAGCAAGGGAATTCAACTCCAGCCTGCCTGGGATGCTGGACAATGCCAGGGATGATGCCAGGGCTGGCTGTGGAATTCCCTGGGGCTTTTTTGCTTTTTTATCTTTTACTTTTTCTTTTATCTTTTTATTTTTTACTTTTTCTCTTAAAGCTGAGAGCCACTTTTTTGTATTTGGGTTTGGGTTTTTTTTTTTTAAGCTTTAAAACCAGCAGCAGGAACCTCCTTCTCGACCCCCAAAGAGCCACTGCTGATGGAGGCACTGCATCCCGTGGGGATGGTTTTGGGTTCAGACACTGCAAATATGGTGGTTTAGAGTCAAAATATATAAATCCAGCAGGTCTCCCCATGTGCAGGGAAAAGCACTGAGCCACCCAGAGCTACAGGGAAACCAACACCCCCAATGTATGTATTTTTTTTCTGCATAGATTTAAAAATAAGGAAAATAGGGGTTGGAATAATTTTGGGCTGCACGTGAGGGCTCCCAGCCTAATCACCCCAACATATTTCCCTGCCCAGCAGGAAAATGGGACATGGGCCCCATGGGGGCTGTGGGACAAGGACTGGCACTGGAAACCCCCCAGGAAAGGAAAAACAACCTTAAATTACACCAAACCCTTGACCCAGCTCCACCAAACCTTCCCAAGCCTGCCTTTCCTGCAAAAAAAAAAAAAAAAAAAAAAAGAGAAATGGGGAAAAAAGAGTCCCCCCCCCCAAAAAAAAAAAAAAAAAAGAAAAAGAAAGGGGGAAAAAAAGTCATTTAATAAAATCTATCCTTGGCAGGGGATGAAATTTTAATGCAGCTCAGGCTTTGTGAAAACAGCCTGAATAAGTCATCAGGCAGAGCCTTGGCTGAGATGGATTTGCCCCCGAGGAAATGAGAATTAAAAGGTAAAAAGCTGGGGGGAGCAACACACACGTCTGCTGTGGCTTAGGAAGGGGATGGCTGGGCTTTAAATCAAAGAAAAGAAGGATGGAGACAGATTTATTGGTGTCCCAGTGTCCCCCATCCTGGACGACTCAGCTCTGAATGGGAGCTCAGCCCAAAGGCAGAGGGAGAAATTCCATATTTAATACATTTAATGTGCTGCTTGGATTTTGCACGTAGATTATTTTGTTCATTTCTGACATTGGCAGGTCATTTAAATCTTTAGCCCAGACAATAAAACATAAAAAAAAGCCATCTAAGGTGTGTTCCTGCTGATGCCAACAACCATCACAACATGAGGGCTGGGTGGTGCTGTAGAAGAGTCTCTCAGGTCCCCGTCACACATAATTCTGAACCTCCAAATAAATAACTTGACAAAAACCCTCTCTTCTCATGTGATCAGCAAAAAAAAAAAAATGGTGATGACAGCTCAGGAATTGCACATTCACCCCACCAAAATCAACCAGTCGGCACCAAAAAGACGTGTCATATGAAACAAGTTTTTTCCTTTTTATTTTACAGCTTTATACATAAAACTTTCAACTCTCTGAACCCGACCGAGTGTTAATAGCACATCTAAAAATGAATGTCAGGTAGTCAACATTCACAAAATGTTGAGAACTGATTAAAATATACAGATTACTGAAAGCTACAACTTCACTACGAGGCAGGCATGTATTTTTTTTTTTTTTGACTTGTATAGCACCGTCAAGTACAGTTTCTTTATTTTAAAACTACAGTGAAGAATAAAAAAGTAGTCAATGGGAAAAAATATCATTCAACCAAAAAAAAATCTCTAAACAAACAAAAATAAAGTTAAACTACCCTCTCTTCTCGCCCATGGTTTTATAATGTTATAAGTACTGTACAGGTTTTTTTTGTAATAATATTATTAAAATGCCTGATATTTAGTGGCACGAGTAAAAAAATTAAAATAAATTAAGAAGCAGAGGCCAATCACCGACATAAAGCTTCAGACATGGTCATGGAGTAACACTGGATTCCTGGGACACGGACAGCAGCAGGATGAGGGCTCTCTCCAGCTCTGCTCCCGGCGTTCCCGGCTTCACTTGGCCGGCATCTTCTCTGCCATGTGCTTCTGCTGGCTCTCAGCGTGCCTGGGGAGGGAAGGGGCCGTTATTCCCTGCTCCCAGGGAAGATGGAAAGCCAAACCCCACCCAGGGTTGTGTTCCAAGGGGAATCCACAAGGCTCGGGTGGTGAACAGAGAGCTGTGTTTTCCCGGAGCGAGGGATGTGCAGTCTCTGCCCGGGGACCGGAAGGGGGGCACATGGCAAGGAAAGCCCCTTTGGGGTTTCTCCAAAACCTGCAGTGGTTTTGGCTCAGCTGGGATTTTTTCCTCCTCTCTCACAGGGTAGCCCGACACCTGTGTCCCCAAATGTGGCAAAGGGGACAGGCAGTGTCCCTAAATAACACGGGGATGGGGACAGGCAGTGGCCCCAGACAATGTGGGATTGGGACAGGCAGTGGCCCCGAACAATGTGGGGATGGGACAGGCAGTGACCCCAAACAATGTGGGGATGGGACAGGCAGTGACCCCAAACAATGTGGGGATGGGACAGGCAGTGACCCCAGACAATGTGGGGATGGGACAGGCAGTGCCCCCGAACAATGTGGGGATGGGACAGGCAGTGCCCCCGAACAGCCCGAGGAGCCTCCCTGACCTGGTGAGATCCTCGATGTCCACCAGCATGGCATCCTGCTCCGTGTGCAGCTCGTCCCGGATCAGCAGCAGCTGCACCAGCTCCTCGTTCAAGCCTGGAGCCAGGAGAGAAAAGGGGGGAGTTTGTGATTTCCCGGGAAACCCCAGTTTGGGACCTGGACATCAACATTCCCCACGTCTGCACAGCTTTTAAAGCCCTCCAGGGATGGGGACTCCACCACTGCCCTGGGCACCTGTGCCAAGGCTGGACAGCCCTTTCCATGAAGAATAAATAAATATAAATCAATAAATATATATTAAAAAAATAAAAGAATATATATATAAAATTATAATATATAAATATATACAAGAATATTTAAGAATAAATATGTGTATATATGTATTCTTATAAATATTTATTCTTATATATATTCATATATATTCATATATATTATTCACATATATAATAATATATAAGAACAAATATAATAATATATAAAATATATTTATAGATATTTATTTTATCATTTATTATATTTATTTATTTCTATATTTATATATATTTATATATTATAGATATTTATTTATTTTATTATTTATTATATTTATTTATTTCTATATTTATATATATTTATATAAGATATATCATATATATTTTATATATTATTACATTATATTCATTATTATATAAGAAATATCATTATATTATCATATATATTATAATGCACATATATAATAATATATAAGAATAAATATAAATATATAAAAATAAATATATCTTATATTATTATATAATATATATTATTATATAATATAATACATATCATTATATTATATATATTATTATTCACATATATAATAGATGATGATATAATATATGAGAATAAATATAAATATATATAAATAAATATAAAAATATATAATATATTAGAATAAATATAAATATATATAAATAAGTAAAAAATATATAATATACTATATATAAATATAAATAAATAAAAATATATATTAATATATATTTATATATATTATTATTCACATATATGTAAGAATAAATGTATATAAAAAAATATATATATATGCATACTTATGTTCTCATACAGTTATCAACATTTCTCTGTATATCCTGGAGAATTTTCTTGATTAAACAGGATATTCCACTTCTCACTTACTTTCTATCTGTGAGTGCAGATCATTGACTATCACTTGTAGCTGCCCGATAGTCATGTCTCTTAGATCAGTGGGTTTCAAACTTCTCTTCATCAGGCATTCACTTATATGAGGCATATGTGGCAGCTGGAAGGGAATTGTCAATATTTTATATACTTTTCTTCCAACTCTTTGCATTTCTGAACCATTCAGGCCGTTTCCATCCCCCTCTCACAACAGGTACCAACGACTCCACCACAGAGTGAGCTCAACCTTCTACCCAGCACTGCACCCAAGGCTTCAGGTCATAAACAATTTCAGTTATTAATCCTGTGTATTTTATGGTAATAGTGAGGAATAAATTCCACTGAAATATGTGGAAAATAAGAGTTTGCTGTCCCATAACACCCCAACAAGACAACCCACACTGACCCTTCCACTCCTGAGGCCAGCCCCTATCTCCACCATCCTCCCCATGCCCACCAGTGGTGTGGATGTCCAAAGGCCTGGTGTCCTCTCCCATCCCATCCCATCCCATCCCATCCCATCCCACAGCCCCCACTCACAAGATCCGCTACCGGCGATTTCTTCCTGTTCTGCTTTTCCACCTCCACCTGCATTTTGGCCATGGGCTTTGCCATAGCCAAGGCCATCTTGGCTTCAGCTTGGAGTTTCTTTTGCCTGGTGAGGAAGTCCATGTCGTCCAGGGACTCTGACTCCTCCTCTGTCGTGTCTCTGTCGGAGTAGGACGAGCTCTGCTTGCTCTAGGGAAGCACATGGAGCTGTGACAGCCCTGTCACCCCGACCGTGCCACAGCAAAGACATTTGCTCTTGGCTTAACTTCTTTTGTGGGCTTAAAAGTGGCATCATTTCTACAGAAACTGTGAAAAGCACGGATTTTTTTTCTTTTATCTTAATCCCCAAGATTATCTCTCGAAATCAGAGCGATTCCCAGACAGGGCTCGTTGACTGTTAACACAACTTTAAACGGGAAGAGAAGCCACCAGATCAATTGGGGTTGAAAGGACACAGGGAGGGAAACATCTGGGGCTGCAGTGTCATCTTCACCAAGGGAAAAAAAGGGGGGAAAAGCTGCTGGGAGCTGATAACACCTCACCTCAGTTACAGAGCCAAAAAGAAAGGGAGGAAGGAGGAACCTTCGCACGAAGGCATCTGCTCCACAGCAGCTCTTTATCTGCCCCTCAGCATCTCACACTTTACTGATGGCTGAAAAGGCTGCTCTGGGGTTTGGTGTTGCTGTTTGCAGAGGATCAGCTCTTTCTCAGCTCCCCCAGGGATGCTCCAGGAGGGGATCCCAGACCTACCATGGGTGACAACGGCGTGTCCAGGCTGGTCTCTGTCTTGCTGTCGTCGGCATCGCTGTCCTTGTCGCTGCCGCTGTCGTTCACAAAGCAGATCTGCAGGTTCATCCCACTTTGTAATCTGGGGGAGGGAAGGGACAGGTGACAACCAGGGGCCCCTGGAGCCAGGACAGGCCTCTGGGCAAGATGCAGAAGCTCCTGGAAACTCAGCAACAGGGTTTCTACCACCATCTGCTGATGGAGTGCAGAACTGCCCGGGCACTGCACAGCTTCTGCCATCAAAAACTCCCTCAGCACTCACTGACTGTCTCACTACATTAAATAAAATATATAAAGTATAGATAAAATATACTGAAAACATTAATATCTAAAATTTATGAATTATTTATAAATAAAGACGAAACATCTAAAATAAAGGTAAATGTATAGAGACATTAATAACATGTATAATAATATGTATTGTAAAATACTTTGTTAATGATTGAAATGGTTTATTATTATTCAGTTGTCTGAATTAGGTTTCCTTCAGGTTTTCATTTTGGATTTGGAAAAGGTTGCCCAGAGAAGCTGTGGCTGCCCCTGGATCCCTGGGAGTGTCCAAGGCCAGGCTGGACAAGGCTTGGAGCAACCTGGGCTATGGAACATGTCCCTGCCCATGGCAGGGGATTGGAATGAGATGAGCTTTAAAGTCCCTTCCAAGCCAAACCATCCTGGGATATTACTCTATAATTCTATATGTAGAATTTTTTCTATAATAATAATTTATATATACATAAATATAAATACAAACAATATAAAAAATTACATATATAAAATTATATATACCTATAAAATAATATATATATAATTATATATAAAATTACATCTATAGATATAATTTCTGTCATTTTATTCTATAATTCTGTAAATATGGGAGCAACGGTCCTGCAGAGGTTCCTGTAGGTCCTGGATCAGACAATCCTAATGCTCTGCCTGAACCATAAATATTCATGTCACCCCCAAAGCCTTCAGGTACAGCTGGTGATCTGTGGTGGCACAGCTGCCAGACCCTCCTGGCTGTGTTAATTAGCCCCACGCTCTAATTACACGACAGCGGCTCCTGGTTCAGCTGTAACTACACAGCAACACTGTTTTCCCTTTCAAATGACTCCCAGTTCAATTTAATTTCACAACTGCACCTCTCTGCTGGCACAGCAATATTCCAGCAATATTCCTCCTGGCTCGCTGCCTCTCCCAGGCTCCTTTCTCCTCCCACACCATGGCAACAGGTAGAGCTTCACTCCCAACAGGGGAGTGTTTGATGCTTCCCTGGTTACACCCCAGCAGCTGAGCACAAACAAGCCTTTCTGGAGCAGATTGGATGTAGACATTTCAAAAATCAGAATATGGTGGCAGCTCCAGGGATGGAGCCAGGTCTGGAAGCAGAGCTTGTGTGGAGCTCGTGGGTGTGAAGGAGAGGCAGGAAGGCACGTTAAAGCTGATTTTTCCCATTCTCTGTGTGTGAATCACAGAATCCCAGAATCATTTAGGTTGGAAAAGAGCTCCAAGACCATTGAGTCCACCCTGTGCCCGATGCCCACCTTGTCCCCCAGCCCAGAGCACTGAGTGCCACGGCCAGGCCTTCCTGGGACACCTCCAGGGATGGGGACTCCAAACCTCCCTGGGCAGGGCCAGATGAACTAAATCCAGGACTGGTGGAACAACAGGGCCATAGAAACACAGAATCATTGGTGTTGAAAGGACCTTAAAAATCACCCAGTGCCACCCCCTGCCATGGGCAGGGACACCTCCCACCAGCCCAGGTTGCTCCAAGCCCCGTCCAACCTGGCCTTGGACACTTCCAGGGATCCAGGGGCAGCCACAGCTTCTCTGGTCAACATGTTCCAAATTATAAAAAAATCTGAAGGAAACCTAACTCAGGTAACTTGATCTTATTTGCTTTACCCCCTGAGCATCCAAATATCTTTCTGTACAGTTTTAAATCAGTATTTTAGCATATTGTTCACAACTGCTTACATAACACACAACCGCCTTTGGGGCCCAAGATGTTGTTCTGAACCAAGGAAAATCCAGGGGTATGGTTGAAAGCAAAAACTGAGGGAAGGTTTTGGGGTGTCCCACTGGAGGTATCTCCCCTTTTCCAGGCTGCAGGGAGGTTTGGGGCTGCAGGGTCTGTGCCTTACCGGGATGACAGGCTGGGCTTGCCGCTCTTGCTGCAGCTGGTGTAGAGTCCTGGGCCATCGTCGAAGAAACTGCCCAGGGCCAACTTCTGCCTGATGGACTCCCGCTCATTCTTCTGGGCCTGGGAGGGAGGAGAGACAAGGAAGGATGAAGCTGCTGCTCAGGGAGGGCACAGGAGGGAGGGTTGTCCCACCAGCCCCACCAGCACGCTGGCGATGCCCGGCGTTTCCCGAGCGTTCCCACCACAGCCCACTGCATCCCTCTGTCCCCAAAGGATCGTGGTTTGGGTTGGAAGGGACCTTAAAGATCATCCAGTTCCAGCCCTCCTGCCATGGGACATGCTGATGGAGATGTATCCATACATCCCTAATCTATACACCAACATCTGTACCTATATCCACACACCTTCACATCCAGCATCTTCCACTTCCCTGAGTGGCCTCCAAACCCACCTCCTTCTGCAATGTGTTTAAAGATGTATTTTTAATCACTGTCATCAAATTATCCACTAAATGTATTTACAAAATACATTTAAAAATGTATTTTTATATATATACATGTATATAGGTTTTTTAATAATCAACAAAGGGATTTGAAATCAATCACTGATCAATAATTACGGGGACAACTGTGCAATCAATGTGCAATAAAGGCAAACCACAGCTCTAGATTTAAAATCAGCCTCAGTCTCTCCTGGTGTCTGCCACTGAAGGATTATGTGCCAACGTTGACAACAAGGCAGCAAGTTATTGATAGCAGGAACATTTTGGAGCCTTCAAACATTTCATTTTAAAATAACACTTAATACAAAACAAAAGAAAATATAGCAGGCAAGTCTGGGCTGCTTCCACCGTGTTAATTAATGTAACTGTGCTTCCCAGATTTCACCTAAGGAAAAATAAAGCAGCACCTTTTTGATACAAGGAAGTGCAAAAAGATGCAAATTATTAACTTAAAATAACTAACAGTTTAATTCCAACTCCAGAGCTGATTACATACATTATTACACTGCCCATTATACTGTCAATCCCTTACCAAAACACATACTTGGTTTATAAGCCAACTCCTTTTATTTAAAATACTTCAAATAATAAAAATAAACCCCGTGACATCGAGAGGTCTCGAGGTTTTGGTTCAGCTCCAGGTTTCTGAAGCCCCACCCAGAGCACTCAGCTGTATTTCTGCACTTGGTTTTTTCAGGTTTCAATAATCGATGCCTCAATCAGACTCAGAATTAAAAACGGCCAGCCCTGCTGGGGGAGGCAGCACAGGGAGAAAATTAAGGAAAAATGAGGGAAAATATTGTTTTAATGGACTGAAAGCAGAGAGAGGAGGTTGGTGCCCATCCCAGGATGCCCGTGGCTGTCTCAGGGCATCAATATTTCATTGAGTCCTGGATACTCAGCCTCCCTTTTTCCAGCTCACATGATCCTCTCCCGCATCTTCCCGTCTCTGTCTGATTTTCCTTGTGTTCCAACAGAAATCCAAGGCCCACAGCACATCTCCACCTCCTCCTGCCCAGCCTCCACACCAGCTGGGACTGCTCCCTCCCCAGCACCATCCCCACCTACTCTGTGTGCACCAAAAACTGCTCTTTTTGCACTAAAACACACAGAACCACGGGCAGAGTCACACATATTTCCTCCTCTCAGATGGGGCTGTGCCTCCAGATCTTTTTTTTTTTTTTCATTTTGCTCCATCTCCCACCAGGCCCAGCTGCTCCCAGTCTGACATCTGTACATTTAATCAATGTGCAATTTGTTTTCCCCACCAGGTCATAACTGAGGATTCTAAATAACTCTGCTCCCAGGACTGAGCTGGGAATATCCCATTTTATAAGGCAGACACAGGTTAATGACCCTAAAGAAACCAAGAGTCCTATTTGTTATTATAAAATAGGGAGCAGTTACTGAGAAATAGAATATACCTGAGGGAACTGGACTTTGGACTTTGGATAAATTACCTGACAGCTGCATTGATATCCAGAGCTGGGTATGGAAAACTATAAACTGAGAAGGGAAATGGCCTGGTTTTTAATGCCTATCAAATATACTTACTTGGTAGATAAAAATAACGGGTCAAATACTCCAATTTCAAAGGTAATAAGAAGGAAAACATAACCCAGTGTTATTTAAATGCGTATTTCGGCACTCACTCAGAAAACAAACAGGTATTTCTGCAAGAGGGGGCTGACAATTCAGTTCACACAATGACTTGAAACAAAAAGCTGCATTTTATTTTTAAGGCAAAACAATCTGGGGCGGATGTTTTCCTTCTTAGCCTTGACCTTCCCCTTGGGAAGGTCAGTGGCCACCTTTGTTTAAGCCCAGGAATGAAAACACAGCGTCAGGTTTGTGGCTGTGGAAGGTTTTCTGCGGCATCCCAGGACAGGGAGAGGTTTGGCTGTTCCCACAGAGGCTCCAGCAGCCCCAGCCCTGTCACCTGCTGCAGTTACTGCTGTTTATCCACCTATTTCCATCACCTATTTCCATCGCCTCCTTGGTGTTTGCAGATTATACACAACCACCAGCTCCACCTCCTGCCAGCAGCCAACCCGTCCCCAATGTGCTGTGACACCAAAAACCCACCAGCTTTGGGTTAGAGCCCGAATGTATCCAACATATCATGGAATCCTTGCATGGGTTGAGTTGGAAAGAACCTTAAAGCCCATCCAGTCCACCCCTGCCATGGGCAGGGACACCTTCCACTAGCCCAGGTTGCTCCAACCTGGCCTTGGACACTTCCAGGGATCCAGGGGCAGCCACAGCTTCTCTGGGAAACCTGTGCCAGGGCCTCCCCACCCTCACAGCCAGCAATTCCTTCCCAGTATCCCATTCTCTGGTAGTGGGAAGCCATTCCCTGTGTCCTGTCCCTCCATCCCTTGTCCCCAGTCCCTCTCCAGCTCTCCTGGAGCCCCTTCAGGCTCTGCAAGGGGCTCTCAGCTCTCCCTGGAGCCTTCTCTTCTCCAGGTGAGCACCCCCAGCTCTGCCAGCCTGGCTCCAGAGCAGAGGGGCTCCAGCCCTTGGAGCATCTCCGTGGCATCCTCTGGACTCTCTCCAGTAGCTCCACATCCTTCTTGTGCTGGAGACCCCAGAGCTGGAGGCTCTCATGGAAGTGGAGCTGAGGGGGAGAATCCCTTCCCACCCACCCCCCAGCACCAAACAGGGTGCACAGCCCATGCCAGGCCCTGTCCAGGAGCACTGGGACACCCAGCCAGGCCACCAGGGCTATTTTTGCCAGGCTCTGTCATTACCAGCCTTGGATGATGACTATATTTAAAGTTCCAGAGCCATAGGCAGTGCCTTATTTTATCTCTGCAAAGCACAAGGGCTGTTACTGGATTTACAAACAGAAATTACAACCCCACGACATGTGTTTTTATCTCCTTTCCCTTCACAGGGGATTTACTGGTAAATGCAAACCCAAGTCAAACTCAAGCCACGTGGCAAAGTGCCTTAAAATCCCAAGGGTCTCGAGGTAAGAGATGGAAACACCTCCTGACATTTTCTTCATCATAAAGATACGGAAAGGCAGAGGGAGGAGGGTCTGCTGCCCTGTGCCAGGGCATTAAACACCTTGGAGTACTTCCCTGCCCCAGCCCCTGAATCCCATGGCCCTGGGAGGGTGTAGGGCAGAATCCTATAGCCCTGGGAGGGTGTTGGGCAGAATCCTATAGCCCTGGGAGGGTGTAGGGCAGCATTCCATGGGTGCCCTCCTGCCAAGAGGGCTCCCGTGGGCAGACAAAGGCTCCTTTTTGTCCCTTACCTTTTTATAACTCCCCTCCCCGGCCGGTGCAGCTGCTTTCCTGATGACGTCACCCATTCCATCACCTCCCTCCCGACTCATCTCCTTCGCTCCCGGCTCCTCACGTGGCAACAACGGGGCATCTCAGTCCTTCCTCGGCTCTTCCCCGGGCACCGCGGGACGAGGCGCTCGCTCCAGAGCCAGGACCTGCCGCAGCCCCCCGGCCCCTGCCCGGGATGCCTCTCCAGCACCTCTCCCTTCCCGGCTGTTCCAGAGCACCTTGCTTTTCCCAAATAAAGTCACGGAGCCCCAGGCAGCTGATGAGAGGGAGGCGAAGGCTGTCGGGGCCAGGGAAGCCGCGTCCTCCTCCAGCCACTGCCAGCGCCGGATAAAAATAGCCCCGAGCCTTCCCCGGCTACACAAGGGCAGGAAAAAACCCGGTGTCTGATGTCAAAATCCAAGCCTGGCAGCGCAGCCCTGGCCAGGAGGAAGGGGCTTTTTCTCCCGGGGTTTTCGCTGTGGAAGTTATCCCAGTAAATCCCCAGGAACCCGGGATATAAGGCTGGTGGTCCCGAGCCCTCGCAGGGCTGCTCAGGCAACCACAGGATGGAATTTTCACTCTACCCAGAACCCACCAGCAAGGAGCTGTTTCTTGGCTAAATCAGCTTTGTCAGGTGCAAAAAATCCTAAATTTCTGGGAATGAAGCAACAGAACTCAAGGAGTGACCCAGCCTTACCCCCGTCCTGTGGGTGTGCAGGGCCTGGGGATCCCCAACCACTCCAGCCCTGGGTCCTGGGGGGGTCTGGGCTCACAGCCCTCAGACCTGCACTGCTCCCAGCTCCAGCTCCTGTCTCCAGCAGTCCTGCCTGGAGATCCGGCCTTCCCAACACAACCACTGACCTCCAGGTGCACAAATCCTCTTGCTGAGAACCCACCACTTGGATCAGCTGCAGACGGGCAGCTGGAGGCAGAGCTCGGGGCAGACATTCCTACAGGGAATCCCTAAAAGGTGGGATTCATGCCACGGTTTCCCAGTGATCTCTAAAATGTGACCCACCAGCAACAAAAGTCCTCATTTCTGGTGCGACCCAACGGCACAACAACTTAATAATTTCAATTGCCCTACAGTGTTTACGTGTTTAATGATATATCCAAGTCATGCTGACATCATGTCGCCCAAAATGCATATTCCAGTTAAATTACCAGCTCTGACAACACACAAATTATGCATCCCAGCATTAGTCTACACAGCATTTTCAGGAAAAAACAGCAATAATAAATGTTTAATCCCACCCTTCTCCCCGGATGGTGCTTTGTAACTGTAATTCCCAAATGAAACAAAGTGGTTCTCTGGATATTTCATTATTTTTAGTTCC